GTCACGGATACCTAACTCTGTTTGTCTCGCCCCTTCAGCTGACCACGTATTGGGAAAAAACCTTCAAGGTGGACCTGTTCCGACCTCAGATTGGTGTGGTCAACGTCACAGATGTAAGTAATGAGTGAACTCTTACACGTTACTTAGAGAATGAACTCTTACCTTAACTTTCTGTGTTCCAGGCGGACAGCGTGTGGCTGGACATGTCCAACGATGAAGACCTGCCCTCCCCTGAGGAGCTGGAGGACTGGATAGAGGACGTCCTGTCAGGGAGGGTGAACACGGAGGACGACGATGAGTCTATGGACGACCAGGAGGACCCTGAAGGCTACGTCCCGGAGGACAGCTCCGAAAGTCAGGACCCGGAGGAGGAAGAGGACGGAGATGACTAACTCACTGTTGAGGGTGGGTGTCCAGCCAGGTCAGACCTGGGTCAAAACTGGCAACAACCACATCACTGAGAAATTATTTCTTTATCTAATTATTTGAGTAAAATAAAAATATGGTTTAATAAAAATGCAGGCCATAAAAACAAAGAGCTAAAAAATGCTCCTTAAGACTGAGATTCTTACAGTCGGACAAGTCTTTGTGAGATCTGTTGACACATATGTTAATATCAAAAATGATCATAGCTTTAAGGTTGAGATAAGATAAGATAAGAGGGATTGTGTCTATCTACGTGAAAATAATATACCAAAAGTGTTTTGTTCTTCTAATTAGAAAATATCTTGAGCTGTTTTCTTGTGATGAATTCAGAACCGAATAAAAGCATATTCCGACAACCTGTTTTCATTTGAACCACCTCCGCTGTTTTACGGTGTGTGAGAACACACAGTTCCCTCGCTCAATAACAGGGTCCAGAGGACTGATGCTAAAGACAGCAGATTGACATGTTCTCCCTCAACCAATGAGCGGTTTTCCCCTTGAATTATTCACACAGCAGTGAATAATTCAGCATCATTATGCCTCCTAATGGGAGAAGGGACCCCGGCAGTGGGGCTGGGGAGACGAGGTGAAATGACCGATAAACTGCATAAGGAGCGGACATACCATGAATTAATAATACAGGGCCATGCATGAATGATTATTCCCCCGGAGGTGTGTGTATGTAAACAGGATGCGTGTGTCACACTTTGGGATTTACACATAATCCATGCAGCCAGATTTGAGATAAGAACATCATCCAAGTGTTAAATGTGACCCGAGGCAAGGAGACGTGACACGCTCTCTCCTGAGGAAAAGGAAGTAGACAGTGTCAGGATGTTCTGGGGTTTACATAATCCTGTTGATGTCAAGTGTGCTGGTGTTTAACATGACAAAAAGGGAGGCAGGAGGAGGATTGAAGTCTCACACACAAACACATCCGTGCTGCGATGACAGCAACACAAAGAGGGTGTGAGGGTTTAACAGCTTAGAGTGTTAAGGTTTCTGTTCAAGACTCTCACTCTGCACACGAGTCATTACCAAGCAGATAGAGAGGGAGGAATGAAGGGGAAGGAAAACATCCCATTAAGATGCAAATGTTCTTCATTTCCCTCTCTCCACATGTGCTCCTCGGACAGAGCAGGGTACGGGAGGATTACGCCGGGGACAGATGAGTTCCGACAGGCGGCTCCCGCTCTCAGGGGTACGAGGTTGTTTGTTTCCAGCGCCGGACACCCACATTCATTTACCCACAAGGCTCTGACAGGCTGATGGCAAGCCAATTACCGTTGAGCTTCGTGACAACAAAAAGCCGCCAAATCAAGGCCAAAAAAGACAATTTTCCTCCAACATGTCACACAGCAGGAGCAGAGGCTTAATGGGCAGCGACAGAGCGGGTGTTAGCAGGCCAGCAGCCGAGGGGGAACTAGTGCACATGGAGAGGCTGAGAGAATAGAGAGACAGGTCATGAAACACATCTGAAATTACAATGGCAAAGAAATGCAATGAAGATAGATTTTAGGGTGAAATATTAAATGCTCAGCAGTTAACTTTGATTTATAATGAGCCTATAATGCCATAGTCACAATAGTCTGTTGTTTTTGTATCTCGTTATGAAAGTGCAATTGTAAGAGTTTTTAAAGAGGTAAAACCACCTTAAATTGACAAAATAATGTAAAATACCTCTTAATTTGGATTCAAAAGGACTTCAATCTTACAGTTTGGTTACAAATACAAGTGATAGCAAAATAAATCCCAAAAAAGAATTGATAAATTAATAGAAAATGTTACATGTCAAGATATTTCAAGTGGATTATATGTATGGTTGAAGGGGTTAAACGATATATAGATAAAAACTCAATACAATGGTTTTGAAATCAGGCAGCTAATCAAATACAATTATATAAACTAAAGTAATAATCCATTAGAAATACCTTGATCAAGTGTTATTAAATAATTGTTCAATAAATAAAACATTTCAATCAAGTTACAAATACCGTAATCACATTTTTAAGGTAGAAAAAAACCAAAAACCCTTTTAGACGTTTCAAACTATATGACACCAAAAGTCTCGATAGACCAGAATGCAATGCCGCTATTAGGCATGTTTGGTTAGTTTGAGTATCCACACAACCAGTGACATATAACTGAAGAGAGGCATTCTGGGAAATCACAAAAGGAGGTAGAAAAGTAGGGATATCAAAAGTCCAATGTTACAAATGTTCATAAAAATGTTTATTGTTTTTACAAATGCTAATGCTGTGAAACTGAACCATGTCTTACATTGCAAACGCCAAAGCATCATCATGTATCCGTCCCCACAACAGAGGACTGTAACCTGGCAACAGCGCGACACATGGTGGAGATGTAGAGGAGTGGGGGGGGTGGGTTGTCGTGTGAACTGGAATGGCATACATATACATTCAGACACACATGCATGTTTACATAAATAGATACAGTGTAAAAACAGGAGGCACAGTCACGTTGGGTTCGTACAAAGTTCCTCTGCCGGTACAAAATGTCATCTTTCAAAACAGCAAAAGTGTGTTTTTTTTAAAGTTCTCCCAAGGTGGTTTAAAAGTTAGAAGTGTACAGTGGAAAAGTTTGCTAAAATGAGCAGTGTGTTGCTGCTTATATCCGGTTTCCCAGCCAGAGGGCAGCACTGGACAACCCTGCTCTCAGACAGAAGATATTATCACCATCTCTCACTTTTCTTCTAGAAGTTCTCTTTTAATACTTAAGTTAATATGCCTGGTCAGTTATGACAAATTAAAGTGTCATTGTTGTGCCTTTAGCTTCATTGAACTGCATTGTTCTGGCGTAATCAGGTGAAAGAAAGATTTAGAAACTGTGTAAGAGGTGAGACAAGGTAGTAAAAGAAAACCAGACAGACTAGTTAAAAGGAGGTTCCGCCCTTCACACACACTCTTTGTCATCTCTTACTGCATGTATTCTAGTCATACAAGTGAGCTGTGTGAGCCCTGAAAGATAAAATCATACTTTAAAAACTGTACATTCTCAAATATTGGCCCTTATTTAGCCCTGTTGGGTTGGCAAAGTCAGTGTAATGGAATGTAATGTAATTAAGCGTCTTTGGGTCTAGAAAAGCGCTATATAAATCCCATTTATTATTATTATTATTAATGTGTATTTCCAAAGCACTGCAGAGGGTCTTGTCACATTCCTCCAGAATTTCTAAATGAATTGGCCGTTACAGTCGAGCACTAACCAGCAGTTGTAGAGAAGGTACTTTACTTAATTCCAATTATAAATACCACACAGTGAAAAATCAAAGTCCTGTTTTGAAAATGTTACCTTTAAAAAGTATGTAAGTTTAACTATACAAATGCATTACAGAAAGGTTTCCTGTGACTGTTTAAACTGTTATCATTATTAATAATCCAATTAATTTGAATTTATGATTATAATCATTATGGATTAAGCAAACTACATCTTTGGTTAAAAATTGTGAAAAAACTGGAAATTCCGTCACAATAAACCAAAGTTGATTTGCCCGACAAATAGTCAAATTAATTAAATTTAAATGTAAATGATTTAAATGCAAATCAGAATGAAAGTACAATATTTCACACTAAACAAAAAAATAACGTCAGTAAAGTACAAGTACCTTAAAGTTGTACTTGTTACACCTTTGCTTACCACATTTAGCTGGGCTTTTAGTGTGAAAAACGTCAGGAAATGTTGACGGTAGTTTGACATTGAGCAGGAGTACGAAAGTATAAAAATAATATTGTATGTCAACAACATGACCTGACTGATATATAGTTCAGTGGAAATACTTATTATACTAGATTGACTGTGAGCTGCAGTGTTTATATCAGGGATCAGTCAAGGATAATCAAATGTGGCCTTTTATATGAGAATATACAGTATTTAAACTTCAGTAACCCGAACAGGGAGTATTCAGTAGTACTTTTTTTTGTGACATGGTTATTCCTGTCTCTGCCCTCCCCTTCCCATCGCGTCCGGAGAAGGCTAGTGAACCGATGAGGCAGGGCAAATGTTTTTGGCCATGAGCGTCTCTCATGATCCGCATCATCGGGAGTTCACCCGTTGTTTAACATGTGTGTGTTGTTCCCAACTGGAGTGGAAATATCCCTCATGTTGCACCACTGCACCTGGAGAAGATCAGAGAATAAGCACCCAAGTGTATGGAGCTCTTCAGGAGTAGTGATGAGGAAAACAGTCTGACGTCCTCTTTGAGCAGGCTGCGATCATCCTTTCTGTTTTTTCATTTAGAAACCAACATAAATGTGCACTTGATACAAAGTCTGATTTAAGTTTTCACGCCAAATCCAAAAGAGGGTACAAATTATTCAACACAGGCACCATCTTCGTCTTGGGTTTCCATGTTTCAAATATTTAAATACAAGTCATAAAATCGACGTCGTTAGTGGTTTTCTCTCCAGCCAAAGGAAGGAGTGATTGTGTTGACACAACATGACACACGTGCACACACAGATACACGTGTAACCGTGTCCGAGGCGTCTCTTTTGATTTCGTCCAAATCAAACATATAAAGATCAATATATTCAAACATGAGTGTAATATATATTCATATATAATATATCAAAAATAAAAACTGCAAACCCAAAGTGAAAACATCCGAGACAGGGTGAGGAATAAAAAAAGAGAGCGTTTGGAGAGCTACACGGAGGTTTCCGACTGTAGCCGCAGGACAAACTTGTGTGACTTGGGGTCGATGTACTCCTCCGACATCTGGATGTACGGGATCTTCTTGGTGGTTACGACCAGGCTGAAGTCCACACACTTCAGCTGGAAGACGCAGCCGTCCGATAGGCCGCTGGTGACCGAGGCGTCGCTGATCAGGGTCCACTGACGGGCCAACCAGTGGCTCCGGCTGTACTGCAGGGTGGGGCCCGCGCTCAGGTAGCTCTCCAGGAACGCCTGGGGGGGGAAGGGACATAAACACACTTTATTTTATATTCAACGGTAATCTATTTAAAAAAAGATCATTTTTTTATGCTAAAGCAGGGGTGTCCAAACTTTTTTCACTGAGGGCCGCATACAGAAAAATACACAAAGGACTGGGCCACTCACCCGACCTGAGGTTTATTGTATACTATATATATATTATTGTATAGTTATAATTTAGCTAAATCCATTGGACAACGGGCCGCATCTGACTCCTGGTCCGTAGTTTGGACACCCCTGTGCTAAAGTGAGTGTGATGTCTTGAGGTCAGAGGGGTGACCTTGGGCGTCATGTTGTTGGTGATGCAGAAGGCCAGGTGCTGCTGGATGCTCTCCATGCTGTGGCAGTGCTGCTGCTTGGTGGTCCTCAGGTACTTCTGCAGGGCGCGGGCCATGGAGGGGAAGATGGCCTGTGCCGCTTCCCGGGGGTCCATCACGTCCACCGGGGTCTTCTTCTGCTCCTCCTCCTGCATGCGCTTGATGTGTGTGAACGCCTCCTCCACCGCCACCACCAGTCTGAGGAGACAGCAAACAGAAGTGAAGAACGGCAACATGACAAACGTTTTCATTGGTCCCTCTACTTTAGAGAAGACCAGGAAATGATGGATACACGGGTCGAGTTCAAATCAATAGGCACGCAATGAGTATTTGTACTCCACTACTTCCCACCTCTGGTTACACTCGTGTAACAAATGAAATGCATTTTTTAGGAGCTTTCTGGCTTTTCATTTTAGATTCCTTGCAGCATTCCTCCATTTATGCTCGATGTTATTACCGTGCTTTGCGCTTGCGGACGCGCCTCTCGTGCTCCGCATCCTCGTAGTACAGCTCGTTGTGGCTGGTGTCTCTGCGGCGGGCTGCGGCTGCGATCATGGCTCTGGACTGAGAGTGAGCCATGCCTGCTGCTGCGTTGTTCCCCGGACCTGTCCCGACACACAGAGAGCACAGGAGGGCTTACCGAGTGTGTGCATATCCCACAGGTAAAGGAACAAAGACATGTGGGGGTGATGACATCAAGTGCAACATGCTTTTAGAGCAGCAGTAGATTATGGATGCACATAAACCACGGACCATTTGCCTTTATCACCGGCAATATAAAATCCCCAGGAGCTGAGGCGAGTAGCCACACAAAGTCGTCAATTTTAATCGTCCTGTGATCATTGGAAAGCCTGAAAAGCACACCAACATATTGATATGCAAACATTCCCTTTTACGGCGCAGCCTTCAGGAGGCCAATTAAAGAAGAAGTGAATCGGGCAACTTCACAAGTTTACATGTTCGGAATTACAGGAGGCTGCTGATGAGCCCCGCCTGATGCTAAAGAAGGCAGGGCTGCTGAATTATTAACGGGGATCGAGAGTGAACAGAATAATTCATGGCGGGGGGGGGATCTATTTTATTGGGTTCAATGTGTTTGTGTGTGTGTGTGTGTGTGTGTGTGAGTGTGTGTGTCTTTACACCCTCGCTGTTACTGCACTTAGATGGGATTTATGGGTACGATTTACAATGTTGAAAACCATGTGAGGAGCAGGTAACTTGAGAAACTGTTGCACCACGGAAGACTTGAAATGCTGATTTCATCATAGCCTACAAATACACTAGGAGAAGTATCTCTAGTGGTGTGATCACACAGTTCCCATCATATTATTCTCTATTTATCAAATCGACAAGTAACATATTCATTCTTTCTCGTTGTCTCCTGAATCAGCAAATCAGATAAGAATAAAAAAGTATGCTTGATTAAATTACTCAACAAGAACAATTCATTTCCCAAAGACAATAAGATATGGAGAGGTGTGAAATAATCGCCATTGTTATGATCATTATTTAATCGTTTATCTTGCAAAAATGAGAAAACGTGCCATCATTTCCTGTTTCTTTCTACTGAACATTACATTCAAGTAGAGTAAAAGTCCCTTGTGAAGTAAGAAAACACATGGTTAGTCTTTTCCGTTTGATTTGTTATTGTTATTTGTGCCTACAACATATACAATAGCCAATATTAATCATTTAAAAAAACATCTGTCTGATTTCATTTTGACTGTGGAATGAATCAACATTGAACCCAATAAAATAGATAACTTATGGCTGTTTCAGATTAGTTGTGAAAGCATAAATCTAACAATGTGGGTGTGTGTTATTTCACTTGTTTGATTTGCTTTGTTGAAGGCACTTAAACGCTTCCATATATCCTGCAGGGATTCATTTCCAATTCCAACTATGGAGCTGAGAAAACCAAATGGCTTGTCAGGCATCATAAAATCAACCCGAGCACATTTGGAAGCAGTGTAATTGAGTGTTATGGCCGCTTTGCGCTCAGGGCTTCAACACTGTTTAATCATGGAAAGATGATTGTCTGTCCCCGAGTTGGTATTATTTATTACACTGCTGCTGCGACAAGAAAGACGGAGTGGGAAGTAAAAAAAAGAGGAGAAGAACGTCCCTGAGCAGCTGCTGCAGGGCGAGAAGGAAGGAGGAAGAGACACAAGAGAGAAATGAGATGGCATTGTAACCGTGGGTTTATCCGCAACTGTCCTCCACTAACATTTAAGAAGAGGCAGAGGAAGGAAAAAGAACAGTTAGTGCACTTCAGTGAAGACGCTTGAGCACACTTAAGGGACAGCAATGATTTCATATAGAGGGTTGGTGTTACATTCCAACAGCTGCTGTGACGAATCAACCTGTGGCATGCAGAGAGGAGAGCTATGAGTGAAGGAGCGTTGATGTTACAAAGTGAGGCTGCAGTGAGGTGCTTCAGATAGCATCAGTGTTCACTTACTGTCCAGCAGGTAGGCCTTCAGTTTGTCTGTTAAGGCTTTATGAAGGGTTCACAGAGAGGAGAGAGGACATCACATAACCACACTGGCTTTATTGCATGTTGCAGCCCATTCACTACAAATCACCCATGATTTATAATATTTTCAACAATTATATCTTAGATCTATTTCCTTCCTCCCAGGCAGACATTCCAGCGCTGTATTGAAATCCTGCAGTGACTTGAAATGTGCTTTAGACGGGTCACCTGTCCCAGGGACTGTGAATGATTGCAGCAGTTATATAAGCAAAAAAGAGTATGACGATGACACAAGCATCTATGTGTGTAGCATTAGCAGAAAAAGTAGACCCCCACCACACCGGAGCACAGAGAGAAACCAAAGCACGGATAAAGACACATAACAAAGATCAAAGAGTGTCCCACTCACCATCAGCAAGGGCTGCTGGGAACTCACCATCCACGTTGTAGACCTTGAGGCCGGCCAGGTGCTTGGCAGCGCGGGACTTGGAGGCGGAGAGCAGCGCCGGGTTGTGGACGGGGAAGTCGCAGTAGTAGTGCTCCAAGATGGCCAGAGCCGCCCGCTGGATGCTGGGGAGGAGGAAGAGGAGGAGGAAGAGGAGGAGGAAGAGCTTTAGGGAAATGTTCTGGATAAAAACAGTGTGTCTTCCAACAATGGAGAAAAAAGGGGAGCTTAATCAACAATTCACTGCAACTTCATTACTTCCATCCACAGCTAGCTCCTGGCTATAAAGAGCAAATCAGATTTCTGCATTTCCTTGCAGCCCTATACATGTCATTGGTCTTTAGCTCTCCCTGTTTATATCGATGTTACGGAGGAGAAAGCAGTAGCATTCAGAGTCGATGTGGCCACATGCTGATCCTTCACAGTGGGGATCATGTCAGGGCTTGTCCTTCACAACACAGCACTACTAAACCAACTGTACACAAGCAGCCCATTTCCACATGTCACATGACATAAATCATCAGGTCTTTTATCACACACAACCTCACTTTTCCTGGAAGCTACATTAGGGCAGTAAGGCTCTGAGTCAATAGACTTGGCAGTAACCACAGCATCAGCAAAGCTTTTCTGAACTGTGCAATTTAGCATAAATATCTTATTGCAAATTCACCAATGTATTAATTGTCATTGAATAGAAAATTGATCAGTGGCCATGTGCTCTGTTATACCAATACTTAGGTTGTAGCATTTAGAAATGAAATCTGGCAGCTAGTATTGGCCTTCCAAAGTAAAGCTAAAAACCAGTCAACAATGCTCACTTTTATCGACTTAAACTATAGAAATAAAGCCAACAAATGCAGATATAAATATGAAACCCCTCGTTACATAGCAGTACTTCACAGGGTACACAGTATAGGGATTTAGTTGCTGCTACAACCCAGAGCTCAGTTCACTGACCTGCATTTATCCAACAGGACGACAGCAGATGTTGACAGCTGTTAACTGACCCAAAACAAGACTGCAGTGCTTAACACAAAACGGCCCTTTTCTTCTCCGGCTGTGTGTGTGTGTGTGTGTGTGTGTGTGTGTGTGTGTGTGTGTGTGTGTGTGTGTGTGTGTGTGTGTGTGTGTGTAAGCCCTCACTGCACCCTGTGTCATTCTTTAGGCCACGTGGAGGGCTAACTCAATAAACATGAACATGAACAACTCGGGCAGCATGCGCTTCCTATTACCCCAGAGGAGGATGCTGTATGACCTCTGAGCCACCGATGAAAGCAGTCCATATATTTTCTGACCTCTTGTAATGTCCATACCTCACTCAGAACAAACTCTAGATTAAGTGCAGATATCTGAAATACATTACATTACACCACAGAGACATACAGGGCACCCAGGAATTCATTTATACTGTTATCTGCTGACAGTCACATGTAAGAAGCATCATGACAGGCTAACAGAGTTACTGAACAGATACTCAGATTGGTTTACAGACAAAAGATGAACGAGTGATGAGAGGATAGGGACTGTCTGTTCATGGCTTTAAAATGGGAGTGCAAAGTCTCCAGTAAGTCCCCTTTTTCACATTTTCTAAAGATGAAAGGAATCCCTTTTTCTCATGATAACGTTTAGATTGTGCATGATTAGATTTGTGTATTTACATGAGGTCATGAAGAGGTACTTTCGAAAATATGTTCCATTTAAGTCAGTTAAATAGCAAGAAGCTACAAGGCCAATGGTGTAGTTTTCATTTTCCCACGCATTAACCTCCCGACAAGTTTCATGAAAACCAGGCCAGAAGTTGTTCAGTAATCCTGACCACAAAACTCCCTCCCTCGGAACAACAAGTGTAGCTTTTTAATAATTGTGTGTGTGTTAGACTTGAAGTCAGCCATAGGAAAACCTGACAGAGGGTATATCAGCAAACTGGAGGCGCGCTCACTTCCGAGGATTGATAACATCTCCCATGTTTAACCCAAGAGACCCGGGCAGCCCTCTGATCCATTAAGCAGACACACAGGACCATTGTTTGGAGCAGAACTGCTGAGTCAGAGTTCCTGCCGCTTTCGGACTACGATCAATTATTAAGCCGAGCAAACATGACACAAAACCATGTTGGCGTTTTACATGGAATTCAAGAATTGCAGAGCACTTAGTGAGATTTTCCAGGTAGTCACCCTCTGTAATGTTTGTGAAGAGTGACCGGTCAGGGAGTGTAAACTGGGAAGTCCCCAGCAGTGAGTGTTTAACCCCCACCCTCTGTGACTGGAAGGAATGTGTTCATATTCGACTCCTCTGGTCTGACAAGGGGACAAAAAAGGCTTCCTCTGGAGATTGGCATCAAAGGCCAGGCAGACACAGACAAGCCTTGAAGGCCCCGGGGCCGAGTCCCCTTTATGATAAGGGAAAGATGAATGGCAGAGAAACAGGAATGTGGGCAGTGAAGTAGAGGAGGAAAATACACACTCTCGTCTGGCTTTCTCTCTATGATGCATTGTTCGTGACTCATTTGCATGTATATGATGCAATTACGCATGCAAACACACATGTTTATGCTAGGTCGTGTCCGTGCATGTGTGTCAGGCTGACCAGATGGGAGCTCTCATTAGCCCTGAGTTTACTGCCTGCTGCTGCGGCCAAGCACCCTGAATGGCACAGCTTACAAAGGACAACAGCCCCAAGGCTAACGCACCAACCAGGCCTTCACACACACAACCACACAACCACACGCACACACAACCACACGCACACACACACACACACACACACACACACACACACACACACACACACACACACGTCTGACCTGTTTCTGCTAATGCTAAGTCAACTTGGATATCAATACGCATTCAGCCTAAAGGTTAAAGGTTCAGCGCAAGCACATTTGATTATTAATTATAAATGATAGATTGGAAATATCAATAATCCAAAGAGAAAGAAGTGATACTAGATGAACTTCTAACATTATACTCTTTTAGGGTGAATTCTAAATTACAATCGTCAACTTAATAATGTTTAAATTAAAGGATGCTTTATGTGTTGAGAAGACATTTTACTTCTCGAACTAGATACTCATATTGGGTTATCTGAAAAATGCATTGTCAAAAAAAAAAAGGCACACATGGATTTTAGCTACCAGCCGACATCCTGACATAAACAAAGGTACATCAATTATTAACCAGTCCACTACGGGGAAAAAACACATACATGTAAGAGTAGATACGGGATAGTATCCTGTCATAAAGAAGTCCACCAATAAATCCATCATGTTTTAGTAGTTGTCGTTCAGCAGGCGTGTGTTGGACACTCGGTGCTGCATATTGATTCCAAACATGAGATCTTCCGGTTCTTTCTGACAGTAAGGTCATAAAAGCCTGGTGGGTCTAGTCAGAGCTGTTCTCTCCTAAACACACACCTCTCCTTTCTTTCATTCCCACATTGGTTTCTTTGACACTGCCCTCCTATTAATAATGAATCCAGCGTTCTCTCTCCTGTCTCTCGCTGCCTCCGTCTCCTGGGTCTTTCCTCTGTACTCCGCCCTCCGTCTGCAGTCCCCCCCACCCTCTCCTTTTTCTCCTGGCACGGATTCCTCTCAGCCACTTTGTCTGCACGCCTTCTTGTGTTTGCATTTTTCTCCCATTTCTGACATTTTATATCCCTTTCTACTCTTTTACTTCAGAGTGTGTAACTAGTGTTTTCCTTCCCTCCTCTCTCGCTTGGTGTCCCAGTTTCCATCTTTCCTTCTGCCTTCATCTCGCCCCCATGTCCTCCTTTCCCTCTCTTTCATCCCCCCACGTTCTCCTCGTCATTCCCCCTGTCGCTCACATGAGTTTAGTTCTCTTTACCTTCTGTCCTCTTACTACTTCTGTCTGTAATCTCCACATGCACAGAGGTCATCTGGGTATTCTGCCATCTTGCTCTCAATGCTTCCAGAATACATGAATGCCTGTGTGAGTATTATACTAGTCTACAGTCGTTAGTAACAGTTACAAATGTAAGATTTGCACCTGTATGTCTGATACAGTTTTACACTGAGACAAAAATGTAATCCTATTAAACAAATAGTTGCGATAATGAGACCAAAGTCAAAATAATAGTACAAAAGCCACACAAAAATATCCAAAATATGAGACAAAAGTTAAATCTAGCAGACAAATAGTTCAAATAAAAAAGAAGTCATAATCATAAGACAAAAATTCAAAAGTCAAAGAGTAAAAACTATGACACTGACTAAACTGTAGCACCAGAAGTATGAATCCGCCTCTGTAAATAGTTCCTATGAAATGTAGTGTTACGTGTGCTATAAGACCCAGCTGTCTCTCAGGCAGTGATCTAGCCTTTGGATAATGAATAACTCTGACAACACAAATCCCTGAGCAGGTGTGATTCCTCTCAGAGGACACCGGCCCCTGTGAGCTCCTCACCTCAGCTGGCCCAGGTTGTAGTGCCTCTTCTCCCCGTCGGTGGAGCGCATGACGCAGACGGAGAAGCACGGCTGCAGCTGCCGCAGCTCCAGCAGCACGATGGCCAGGTAGTGGATGAAGAGCAGAGCGTCCACCAGAGACACCGCGTACTGCACGATGCCCTGGTAGTTGTCGTCCTGAAAACAATAATGTACCTCTTTCAGACTACATTTAAACATGTTCCCATACACAAAGTACTCCTGCCGGGATATTAAATGAGATCATACACATGTAAGACAAGATGTAGAGCATATGAATATGTAGATGCATTCTGAATGAGGGACCAACAGGGAGTTTAAATGATGACTCAAACATAAAACACAGCACTGGGAAACCAAATATCTCTTTTGGTTGTTTGTTGATCTTCTAAAGGCATTAAAAGTTAATATGTGTGCATACAGCTATGGGAAATACTTGGTTCTGTGTGAGTAAAAAAAGTATTGCACATTTTTAATTAGCTTTATGTTGATCGTTTAAAAATGTTTTGCATTTTATTTGATCTTTTATCGGACATGTCCCTTACATTTCTTATGTGTATCTATTTTTTCAGCATTTCTAACTTAAACATCTTATGTACATTCTTATATAATAATTTATTATTTTATTTTAAAATGAAGCAACTGTAACACAACCTTATCTCCCCTGGGATAAAAACAATATTGTGATTCTGCTTACTTACAAGCAATGACAGAGATTATTATTGATGCCTGCGTTTCCTTCTCTCCCCTCACCTGTGTGTCCAGTATCCTGACTCCATAAAACAGCCAGTATGACATCACAAAGAGCAGCACCAGCACGGCGAGCAGCGCGCGGAACACAAAGACCCGCGGGAGGCCGGCCCTTGGCGACCTGAAGAAGAGCGCCCAGACGGCCAGCAGCAGGATGAGCAGCTTGAAGGCCACGGAGATGAAGAGGCCCTCGCAGGCCGTGCCGCAGCTCTGCAGCTTCTCCGGCCACAGCAGGTGGGGCAGCACCAGGAAGGCCACGGGCGTCAGGAACACCAGCAGGCCCATGACCACGGCCAGCGTCAGGGTGAAGTACCGCCGGCAGTCCAGCCCCACGCTGTCCTCCAGGTCCTTGGTGATCCGCACAATGTCCTCCTGGGACAGGCTGTGCTCCGAGGTGCCCGTGACCGCCGTGGTGGTCTCGCCCCAGTTGTCATCCTGGAAATAAATGAAATAACTTTTTAGTTTTTTTTAATCATGCCTCACATTTACTAGCTTAAAATAATGAGGTTAGGCCAAAAAAGGACTTTTTTTTTTTTTTTTCATAATAATATAGTCCCTTTCCATCATCATTTTTTATTCACTTCAGAAGGTAAAGGCCACTATGATTCAGGGATATTTACATAACTTAAATCGATTATTTAGGCAAATACATTATTTTCTACAGATTGTGAGGCATTCTAATTGTAACTTGAACACATGAAAAGGTGCACATAATTGTAAAAAGCGTTGTCTCATGAGTGAGCAGTAAAGTCCATTAACAAACCAGTTGAACTGATGTTTGTACAGTATAGTGAATACATGGTTTTAATGCATGTGTGGGATCATGCACACTAATATTTCACATTCTGTTTATCATGTGCTGATCCATTCGCAACAGCAGCATAAAAACCAATCATCGAGGTGTTTTCCTCGATTCACAGATGTGTCTTCATTGAAAGGAACATTGAAGGGGATTCAGATGCACCCAGTGACTTCAGCAGGTCTAGCAAATGCACAATAACAAAACCACAATGGCAGAGTGGGCCCAGTACAGCTACTCTGCTCCAGGGGAAATGTGAGAGACAGCATCAGATGATAGAAAATATTAAAGCTCCTATCTGAGCTTTTTTCTCACTCGAGTGAATTAGAAGGGGAAACATGTTACAATACCTGGGGCTCGTGTAGTGGATTGTTTTTTTTTACTTCTGACGTCAGCTCAACAAAAAAGACATGGGAGGTTATTTCCAAGCACGTGAGAAAGAAAGGAATAGATAGGAAGTGGGAAAAGTAAACAGAGCGAGCTGCCAACTGAGCTTTACTCTGACGTCTGGGTCTGACTGCATCCGCAGATAGTGAAGGTCAGCAGAGGCGCGAGAACAAGAAAGATAACAACTCTTTACACTGCAGTCATAACAACAGCTAACGAGGCTATGTGAGCCGCTGCAAGGGAACAAGGGACTGATAATGAACCAGAGACACTGTAACCGAAATGTATTACCACTGGAGTCAAATGTGTGTAGGAATGAGTTTGACCACTTCAGGTTTTCAGGTCACATGTTTCCTTCTAAACGCCTGCAGCTCTGTGGTTAACACAAGAGATTTTCATGTTTTGCTCTACGATATAAAATACATCTTGTAAATAGTAAATACCCCACTGAACCTTATTTGTCTCACAAAAACAGCGGTTGGTAACGTGTAGCGAAATGAGACGACTTAACGTCATTGAAAGATAGCCACCTTTAGCTTAGCAAAGATGCCGTAAAGTCACGTGACCACGATGCAGTTGGCTGATAGCCTTACGTTAGCTTTAGACGAGTATCATAAACGTGTGTTTGCCAAATATCTTATTTTTTGCATTATCCGAAATACAATGGTTGATTTCTTTGAGGGAGTCCTTGAGAGGCTGACTTATGTGTCGGCCACATCATGACCGCACCACTCCATTCAGCCGGTATTAGCAGAGAGGGGAAATGATAGTGAGTTCAGACTGAGGGGGATGGGAGGGTGGTGCATTGGGACAGAGAGTAGCCAACTGGCCTCAGGGGTTAAAACAGCAGATAAAGGGGAACAATGGAGGACCAGGCAGAATGCTCAGGTTGTTTTTACTGGAAATATACTTCAAAGTATACTGACAACTGAATTTACACCAAGGATATTAATACTGCAAAGGCAAAGAAGAGAAACACCTTAATTGTGCCATTATTTTAGGCTGAAAAACAAAAATGATGAGCCTCAAACATCCAAACATTTGCTGTTCCTGAAAGCACTATCCTTCACGATGACTTGTCGGTCTGAGGTGCAGCCCCTGAAACCGATCTCAGTCTCATCTGACCTTTGACATGACAATGCGGTTGTAAATAATCATCTGACTGTCTGCAATGCTGTAGAAAAAAAAGTGAAACATCAGGTGTGTCCCGTCACGTGAGCTGTAAACCAGACGGTGGAATGCATGGCTCGGGTTCAAAAGGTCAAAGAGGGAAGATGTTGATACGCCGCCTGACATTTGGGAGTGCTGAATGTCTGCATCTCATTCCTTCATGCAAGTAAATGAACCTTAAGTACGCATTTAAGAGATATGGCTGTATTACAAACAGTACTGGTGTCACAGGTCTATTTGTTGTGGGGTGGGGTCATATAATCTAACTTGAACTAACCAATGTCAAATAAAGGATCAAATGAAGAATAAGAAATCAGTATTCCTTCAAACTGCGACAAACAAGTTGCAAACTATTAATCAAAAGTAACATTGGGTCAACTTCATAATGTCTGTGTATTGAACTTGAGAATTGGAGGTCATAAATATATCTGATAGAATACAGTACAACAAAAATGCAACTCAAACACACGTAAATAATGTAAACATCAGTCCAGTCAATTGGATTGGAGATTGCTTTAGAAAGAGAACAGTGAAAGCCACTTTGTTAATAATGAGCGAGCGGACTGAAGAGGCCTCTCCACAGAGACTAATGCAACAAGCCTTTTACTCACAAGAAGCAATTATCCCCTACAGAGAAGAAGAGTAAGCACAACCTCATTATTTTCTTTGTATATTAGCAGAGACAAGTGGTCGGCCAAAGGCGAGCCACAAGCCTGGGTCATAGAGAGATTCATAAATCAGCAGAAGGTTAACCAGCCCGCCTGCAGGTACGCGGCAGCATGGGTGAGACGTCTGACATCCTTTAAATACATGTTTCCTGATTGTTAGGTATGACACCACAGGCATTGTAACACGCAATTGGGGCTATTGTATAACTTTCTTCCGCACTAGAGGAAAGAAAACGTCCAAAATGCACATTAAGCTGTTTTTCTTTACTAACTTTATCAAATCAAATCAAGTTTTATTTATATAGCACATTTATAAACGATTTTTGGTCGAGCCAAAGTGCTGTACATATAATAAAAATAGCCTACAGTAAAGACACTTTACAGCAAATACAACAGCACAGATTGTTCAGAATATCAGTATGAGAAAAACAACACCCTCTATCCTTAGACCCTCACATCGTACAAGGAAAAACTTCTGTTTATTTGGGTCTTAAGAATTCTCCTAATTTTACCAAAAGCAGTAAATAATGCCTTTTTTTGCCTTTTAGACACTTATAATTCATTTTAAAAATGATGTAAATGTTAGTATTCAACTGGGGAAGCTTCATGTAGATATGTATTAGTTAGGTATTTAAAAATATATACCTTAAAAATGCAATTTTTTCAAACTCTGAGCCAGAAATCCCCACTTGAGTAATCTATTAATAAGAGCGAATGCTAACCCTGTTAATGTGTAGTGTTTACCATTAATTAAAACGTGTTTTTCTGCATGAGTAATAATGACACAACTGATCCACATGGTGCTGAGTGCAGTTCACTTTGACAGATTCTCAAGTCTTAATCGTGTTTGACTCCAGTCTAGCTAATGAAGACCAGTGTGTGTGTGTGTGTGTGTGTGTGTGTGTGTGTGTGTGTGTGTGTGTGTGTGTGTGTGTGTGTGTGTGTGTGTGTGTGTGTGTGTGTGTGTGTGTGTGTGTGTGTGTGTGTGAGTGAGTAAGAGTGAGAGAGAGAGAGAGAAGGAAATCAATAGGCATTAGCTGTATATAGAGAGGGTCTCTCTGACCACAGTGTACACCTGCACAGCACCCAGGGGAGACATGAGTCACAGCTTCTCATGCCGACACTCATCAACAGTCACCGCTTGTTTCAGACGTCTGAATCACTCACTGCTCAAGGACTCTTCGAGGAGTCACCGTTTTCACACAGCAAAGACTTGCTCAGGGTCTTATTGAGTGATAACTGGAGGCATTTTCAAAGCTAGAAGGGCAAATTAGCATGTATCCAAAAATGTCAAAAATAGTCCTTTGAAGTCTTTTTGTGTTGCATTCTAAGCACTTTGAATTGTGTTGTTGAGAGGTGCTATGCAATTAAACTTACAATGCCTGAATCAATCCAAGCAGCAAATAAATCAAAAATTATTAAACAAACATCCAAATAGTCGCCCAATCCTTTTTCACCCAATCATACCTGACTAAATGAGAAGGGAATATAGGACAATGTTTTTAGTTGTTGTGAACTTTACTACTACTCCACCTGGGCTTTCGCTTCGCCTGCAAGGCTAAAAATAGGTATTAGTGACCCACATTTCCTCACGGGATTAACCAACAACTACAGGCTGATCTGGTCCAGTACCAGCAGCACGATTCATTACAGGAAAGAGGGTGAAACAGAGAGGAGCAGTGAAGGCAGAGGGAACAAAGAGGAGAAGGGCGAGAGCACGAAACATGTTCGATAACAAGACAGCCAATTAAAGAGAGGGATTGATCCAGGGGGGGGGGTGGTGTAAATTCAAGGGCCAGAGAGGATTACTGCACACACACACACCAGCCTGTGAAACCCTTCGCTCACTACTACATTTACTCGCTTCAACTAAACACCTGTCAGGTCTGCTCTTGTTCTACGTCTGCTGTGATTTATTCATCGGAGAAGGTTTTACAAGCGATTCCTCACTCTGGGAGGAGCTGAGGCGTTCCGGTGGAGACTAAATAATGGAAACATCCGATATGACGTGTTCTCACATACCACTCCACGAGAGAAGAGAAGGGCTGGAGAAATGGGAACACAGATGAAACTACTCTAATAATAATGAGGGGTTGAAGACAGTACATCTTCTATGTTGGAGATTTAAAGTTAGTGGTATCTTCTCCATGTGTTACTTATTTCAGGATACACAAATGGGTTGCGTATTAGCATCGTAGAAGCTTTCGTTGTTTACTCAAGCCTGGCTAAAAATATCCCTTTACAGCTATTTTCTGAAATGTTAGAAAACACATTTATTTGTGATTTTGTCAAGAGTTAGATAAGAAGATGAATACCACTTATGTGTCTATATCAGCTGTATGTAATATCAAGGTGAAACCTGGAGCAATTAGCTTAGGATAAAGACTGATGGCAGAGGGGAACAAGTTAGC